GTTTTAGAAGAAGAAAAAAGTTTTTTTAGTGTAACTATTTTTTGAATTATAATCACTTAAGTAATACGAATTTTCTCATGGGATAATGTCAAATGCTATTTTGCTTCAGTTTTTGGCATCTTCTTTAGGCAGATATTGGGATTTAAGTGCTTGTTTTCAGACCAAGCATATTTTTGCTGATAGGATTCATCAACAATGTCCTGTCAAATATTGATATACTACAAACGTGTGGAGAAGGGAGGATATAGGGGGAAATGGATGGAACGAAGTAAGGTGGTAGAAGGAGAGGAGAGGGGACGGTAGGGGAAGAAAAAAAATAGTGTTTTACTTTGGTTTCTCCTCTACATTTTTGAGCTTAACTGCATTTTTTGATCGACTTAATAAATTTCATTTTTTTTCCTTTTTTTGCTTTTATTTTTTTAATCATTTATTCAATTTGCTCTTTGAATTCAAAAGGTTTTTTTTTGTTTGTTTGTTTTATCTTGTCCTGTCTCGTCTTGTCAACAATATCAAAATTTATTCTAAAACTGAACTGGAAAAAAAGGTTTAGAAAAGAATTATTTTTTTGTTTGATTTTTTCGAATACATCAGTTTACTTCTTTTTTGTTGTTGTTGTTGTTGTTGTTACTACTTTTATTACTGTTGCTGTAGTTAATAGTACTGTTATCAGTATCGTTATTTCAATCATCTGTTGCTTAATGCTTACAACTTTGTACAGCATTATAGGATTTCTGAAAAAAAGGAAAAACAAAACAGAAAAAAAAAAGCAATTTTTTACATTACTATTGTTTTTCTTTTTCTGATAATTAATTGTTTAAAAACGTATTGTCATAAATAATAATGTCTATTATTTAGCATCTATGATCAAGCTTAATTTCAGGTGCTTAATCTGTTCCGGATTCATCTATCTGAAAAATATGTGATGATATGTGTTGACAATAATTCTGTCACACAACCTGTCGTAAGAAAAGCTTTTTTTTTCTTTATTGGTTCCAAAAATATGTTTAATTTTTTGTTAAAATTATTACTTTTGTTTAGTTTATTGCAAAAAAAATTTTATTGTTGTTGTTTTCTTATTTTTAGTTGTTTTTTTTTTTTTTTGTTTTTTTTCACGTTTCTTTCTTTTGTTGTTGGTTAAAAATAAATTATTTAAGGCTTTTTCAACTCCTAAGCAAAATCCGTTTTTTTTTTTTTTTGGTTAGATACTTTGCGTGTTATGCCGCCACCACCAGCAGCAGCATCAGCAGCATCAGCAGCATCAGCACCATCACCATCAAAGAAGATACTTTTTCAATTTCAATTTGCTATTTTTTTTCTGAATGTTTTGAACTAGTTACATAATATCACAGCAACAACTATCGGAGACTGCTGAACAGAGAGAACGATGGAAAGAAGGCAGAGAGAGACAAAATGGGGGGTCAGTATTTCTCGGTGTCTGATGGTGATGATGCCGATAGTTCTTCAACTACTGCCTCTGCTGCTGTTGTTGCCGCTACTGCAGTTTTTTAACTAATTTTTGGTTTTGGTTTTTTTTTTAGAGGGCAGAAGACAAAAGATGTAGAAAAGAACGAAGAAGAGGAAGACCAAAAAAAAAAAAGGAAAGGAAAGGAAAAGCAAGAAATTGAAGACCACAAACCGGATAAAAAAGATGGAAAAAAATGGTTGGAAGATAACAGTAGCAATAGGAATAATTTGTAATGGTAATCAGTGTACAAAAAAAAAAAAAAAAAAAGAAAAAAGGGGAAAAAAGAAGCAATATGTAAAATTTCTATGTGAAACATTGTATTTCTTAGATGATCATCAAAGAAGACAAAAAAAAACTTTTCTAGTTTTTATCACTTTTAAAAAAGTTTTTCTTTTTTTCTTAATAGATTTTACGTCTTCTTTTCCTCTTTTTTTTTTCTAGCTAATATAGAATAATGGCTGTTAAGATTAGCAAAAAATACTGACTGATAAATATGATGGATGTTTTTAAAATTAAGAAAGAAATATCTTGTTTCTTCTACTCAATTGAAGATAGAAGAGTTGTTTGATGAGCGCAAACAAAAACTACGAAAAGTAATTATAGCAGATAAAAGAATAATTTTAATACTAGATAATTGAGTTAAAAAAAGAGTAAAGATTTTTTTTTTGGAGGGGGGGAAGGGGAAAAGGAAGGAATTTGAAAAACAAAAGATTAGAGGAAGAGAAAAAGATGGGAAAGGAGAAGAAGAAGAAGAAGAAGAAGAGGAAGAAGAAGTAGAAGAAGATGAAGAAGAAGAAGGAAAGGAGGAAGAAGTAGAAGAAGATGAAGAAGAAGAAGGAAAGGAAGAAGAAGTAGAAGATAAACGTAAGAGAAAAAAAAAATAATAATTAAGAGAGAAGAAACAGATTAATAAAAAAAGAAGCTCGGAGCATCTGCAGTAAGTAATTATTTAATAATCTTTTCCTTCTATTCTAAAGTCATCATATTGTTGTTTTTGTCTTCTTCGTCGTCGTCGTCGTCGTCGTCGTCGTAGTAGTAGTAGTAATAGTAATAGTTAGTAATTGTTGTTTTCTGTTGTCGCCTTATTTGTTATCTTAGTATAATGCTGTCTGATAATTGTTGTCGTTGTTTTCATCTTTTTTTCCTGCTTTTTTTTTTGTCTTTTTTTGTTTTGCAATATTACTTATTTGCTGTTGCTGTTAAGAAGTGTCATAATTATGTTCGGGGCCATCGTATAATGCAATTTAACAATGTGCCAATAATGTTATATATATATATATATATATATATATATATATATATAATGTAAACGACATAGGGGTAAAGATATGACTGCAGGATAAAGATGTAAAGCACACAGGGCAATTTGGACTTGTTTAAAGGCGTTTAGTTAAAAGCAACAATTCTTCGATCGTTGTTAAACAATTATTGTTAACAAATCGAATTTTTTTTTTAGAGTTCAGCAGAAAAAAAAAAA